TCTACTGAGTGTAATGTCTGCTGCTAAATTTAGGAATGGGGAGACTTATCGTGCATATTGCCCTAAGTCTAATGCTAGCTCTCCGTAGCTATGCATATATAGTTACCTGAAACCTCAGGTCATAAGGAAAGTTTTCTCTGAATTCCTCCCTCAATCCAAAGTCTGAAGTTTAGTGATGAGAGAATTGGCATTTTGCCATTTGTCCATTGACTCTTAAGTTACAAAATACCTTAGAGCAGGGGTTCTCAAGCTGTGCTCCACGGAGCCCTTGGGGCTCCGCAGCTTCATCCTGCTTCTCACTTCCTTTCCTCCTCCTGAGAAATACAGGGAAATTAAAGTTTTGAGCTGCTGGCAACAACAACGGCAGTGGCAGTGGCATTGTCCTCCTCGGACACAGGCCCTTTTTCCTTCACCCCACCTCCCTCGTCACTCAGACTCCTTTTCTTGCCATCCAGACATCCACTCTCTTGCTTTCTTTGCTTCCAATTTCCATCCCATCTCTCAGGGGGTACTTTGATTATGTTTTTCCTGCACAGCAAAAGGTATTGGGCTGGATGATCCCTGGAGTTTCTGCTGCTGCTGTGGTTATTATTATTATTATTACAGAGGCTGGGTGGCCATATGTTGGGAGTGCTTTGATTGTGCTTTTTCTGCATGGCAGAAAGGGGACTGGATGACCCCAGGAGTCTTCCACTGAAATACGGTTAAGTTTATGTAGGTTATAATTGTTCTTCATTTTAAATAATATATTGTTCTTTCATTCCTTTTTTGCACGGTGTGAATTAGTTCACACAAACATTCTTCATCCACCTGCTACTGGCCTGACCTGTAATATAATAATATATAATATAACATATAAACATTTCTTGAGGCTCCATGAAAACATTTTGCTTCAAAAAGGGCTCTGCAGCTGAAAAAGTTTGCGAATCCCTGTCCTGGAGAAATTCATATGTTACATTCACTATTGTCTTTCAAGTACCAACTCTTTTATCCTATGTGTTCAAGCATAATCTTACTGCTTCTTAACATTTAAATATTGACATTTAACATTTCAATTTATACTTTCACATAATCATAGAATTATAGCATTGGAAGAGACTGCATAGGCCATCCAGTCCTCAGGAAAAGCACAATCAAAACACCCTTGACAGATGGCTATTCAGCCCATGTTTTCACTTCTTGAAGATAAGGAACAACATTTGTCTTCCTCCAGCCTCCAAGGAAGGAGTTTCCACCATACTCTGAGGCAGGGAGTTCCACTGTTGAACAGCTCTCACAGTCAGGAAATTCTTCCTAATGTTCAGGTAGAATCTCCTTTCCTGTAATTTGAACCCATTGCTCCGAGTCCTATTCTCCAGGGCAGAAGAAAACAAGCCTGTTCCCTCTTCCTTATGACATCCTTTTAAATATTTAAATATGATGCTTAAATATGTAGTTGTTGGGGTCTACTACAGACCTCCAGGCCATACTGAAGACCTGAATGAAGCCTTCCTTGAGCAAATGTCCTGTTGTTGAGTCAGGCATCACCCATCCTGTATCTGCGTGTTCTGATACTTTTGGGGGGGGAGGGGGAGGTAGATTACTCTATAATTAATAGTTGGATGGGAAATCCTCACCATCTCAAAACATCATCATGGAGTCACTGCAACCTAGTCTTCAATTAGTCTCATGATGAAATTACTTTTCAAGAATTGAAGAACTTCCATGTTTAGGAAGCTGAAAGCACTTTGATTTGTATAAAAGCACTTCAGCTTTTGGATTACTGTACCATCTGAAAAGGGATTTTGGGGACTGTTACATGTCATTGTGGTTGTGTTGGGAGGGGGGAGGTGTCACTCTGAACTGCTTTACTTTCTCATGGTTGTAGTATTAGTTATTTCAATTCTAGTGATCAGACTGCAAGGACCTCTGGCTGCAAAGTCATACCTTTCCTCATTCACTTCCTTTTTAAACATTAATTTTATAATTCACGAAACTGCACAGTTTTACTGCTAATTCCAGACACCTTCAGAATTTCTTTTTAATTAAGCATTTCTATACCATTTGCTAACTTTCTTTTGTTCTTTTGCAAATGATCCCACAATTTGTTGGAAGAAAACTGCTGAAAACTTCAGTTTGAGCTGGAAGCAGACTTCTGCCTTGTAGTATACACAGAAATGCATCTTTACTTTTTTATTAATATTTAAAGTGTTTGAAGAGACAGTGCTTCTGAAGTATTTAATTGTGGAGCTCCAGTATCATGAGATGTGATTTTTTTTTTCTGGAAAAGAAAAGGGGTGTATGGATAAAGAGCAGGTTTCTTCAAGTGCTTGAGGAATGAATTAGTGTGATAAGAAGAGTGGTGTCCTGGTATGCTCGAGTCCAAAGCAAGATGGTTTTGCAACATTAGGACCCATGTCCTAGTTTTCTACGTTATGTTTCTCAGAAAACTAAGATAATAAAGTGACTAAGAGATAAATTGATATCTAGAGGCTAGAATAATAAGTCAATCCTATTTTCCTGCCTTCAGAATTTGCTACAGCAGTGGCCTCTGAAAAATACAGTACAATCCCCATGTCTACGGGGGACAGGGGCTAGGACTTCCATGCATACCTGAAACCACAGGTAATTTTACACAGACACGTGAAACTGCAAGTGATAGGAAATGCTTTATTTTTACTCTCAGAGGAAAAATAGAGTATGTGCTGTTCACTTCCTGCACTGTGGAAGTGAGAATTAGTGCTTGCAATTTTTCGTATCGTTTAGTAAACATTGCCAAGAGTTTGGCATTCTGATGATGTCATATGTTTTATTGCAACTTTATTCATGTATTTTTTAAAATCTTGATCTGGTATACATATTTTTTTATCAGTCTTCAACAGCATCTTTACAATTGATTAATAGCAGGCACTTTTTCAGATAGTTATTTTGTCTATGGCAACTTTATAGTTGCAAAGTTCCTTCCAAATATTTCTTCTGCCAAATACTTTTTCCAACTATCTTCTGCATATTAATAACCTTCCTGCTGGACTGCAAGTGTGACAGCATCTGGCTTTTAATTGCATTTTAATCAAGAATTTGGCAAAAGCAGTACAAAAATCAAACAATCAGATTCTACTTTAACTGTCGTGCATTACCAATTATATCTAAACCCTATATCACAATTCATAGGTTGTTTGCCCAGTGTTTTTGCCACACACAGGATGAATTGAGACCCAGCAGTAGCTTCCACTGCAGTAGGTAAAAGAAGCATTTTCTCATAAGTCCATTCAGCAGATCCCACAACTACTTTCCATATTGGTAAATTTGCGGTTATGCAGGTGTAGCAGAAGAATGGTGCATAATTGGTGGTTATGCAGGTGGAGCAACCAGGTCTTGATTTCAAAAGGAAATGATGGTTAAACTCATTTGTGGTTTCTCAAACCGTGAAGCATTCTCAAGTTGGACACTGTCCTGAGGGATGTCTCAGGAAGATAAATCCCCTTGACCTTTCCGGGTAGCAAGATCAACAAAAGGATATCCCTTCTACTCCAACATCTCATTCAGATTTGGGTTGTTTCTGGTGGGAAAAACAGTAGGACATGACCATTACTTCTGCAAAACGCTTAAAAAATGTAGTGGCCAGAAAACAGCATTAGCGCTTGATATTTTAGTTAACATACTGAATTTTTCTGACACACTAATATAAGCTTGTTTTTATTGTTTTGGTTATGTGGCATCATTAATCTTTACAACACCAATTTGATCCACAAAGGAGAAGTTACATCCTTTTTTAGAGATTTGAAAATTGAAAATGGCATTTTAAGGAAACAGATCTCTCTTAAGAGCTTAATGAAGGTAAAATATGACTTGACACAAAATTTGCTGACCGTTTCTAAAACACATTAATTTTGTATTGGACTGGGAAGTGCAACACATTGCTTTCTACATGGAGTGTAGTATGGGGTAGAGTGCAGCATACACAAAATTCTTATATACATGGATTTTCCTCATTTCCCTGCAGTTTCCTTGTGCAAAACTTTAACCAGATGATAGGAAGATAGAAAATAAAATCTGGCATTTTTAGCTAAATTGGTTCATTACCTTGATTTAAGAAGCATGATTTATGAGATCAAGTGTCATGCTGGGTTTTTTTTTTAATTCAGTTGAATTTACAGAGCAGCCAGGCAAGAATCCAAAGTATTTTATGCTGTGTTCACGCTTCAGGTACACATAGCAAGGACTTCACATTCTATTGTATGCCGACTGCATTGTCTGACATTACTTTCCATTTTTTTTCTGGCATGCAATAACATCTTATGAGTTATGGTTGAACAAACTTATGGTTTCAAAGAAAGATTACCTACAAAAGGAATAAAAATTTAAAAGCAAGGTTTTCAACATGAAATCACTAAGCATTATCACTTAATTTGAAGAATGATGAAAGTATTGAAACCATTGAATCCACATTTCAAGGCATCATACTTCTCTTTTAATTTACTGGGTTCATCACAATCTCTACCTGGTATGCTTCCTTGTGTATTTCTTCCTTTTTTTTAACATGTTCATTTTAATTGTAAACATTCAGGTACAGTAATTTCTTTTGATATCCATTGATGAGATTGTGGAGCTGTGGTCCAGAAAGTTGTCTCTTTAAGCCCTGTTTATTAAGTGAACTTTTGGGGCATGATTAATATTTAAAATTTTGAGGCATGATTAAAATCATAAGTATACTAATCAGGAAATAAATACAGCTGGATCTAATTTATGTCCAAGTATGTTTGTGTGTTTATATATATTCTTACTCTATATAGGAAAGTAAAATTACACAAGAGTGTAAAAAAGGTGGCAAATTCCTTTACAGTATAACATCAGATGGCGAGGCAGGAAACATTATCTAGAAATTGGTGAGTTTTTGTTCAGCCTAGACTTAGTTTGGTATTTCTTTTGCCTGCTGCTTTGATTATATGGCAGTAATGTATGCTCAAAGTCATTTTTAATCCAATTGCTCTGTTACAAATCAATCAATGTTTACTTTTTAGGTCCTCCTGGTAAACGGGGTAAACGAGGAAGAAGAGGAGAGATTGGTATGTATTTCTAAATCATATTTGTTGTTTGTGTTTATATTTTGATAAAAAGATATTTGCTGCTAGCTTGGTACAGTAGGGGATTGGATTTAATGAAGATTAGTGGAAAGGAGATATACGATATTCTAGGAGCTGGATGGGCACTAAGATACAGTTAATTAAAACACTTATAAACAAACTACAAACATGAGACAAAATAGCAGAAGCAAACAAACAACCCCCTCACATAGGATATGCTGGTATTAACTACTAGAATATATAAATTACAGTATATTAACTACTATCCTAACTAAACATGACTTCCAAATACATTTTCTGAGGTTATACTCTTTTTGCCCAACCACCCAATTTTTCTCCCTACTTAACTGAGTGTTACACTTCTAATAAGCTATTCAAAATAAATCGTTGGCATTTCACCTTCATTGTTTTTCAAAAAATCTATTACAGATTTTTAGTATTTCAAAAAGTTTAGTAAAGATTTACTCTAATCAAAATTGACCATTGCACCTCTCTGCTAGCACAGTCACTTTCAGCAGCTCTTCTTTCCTGGAAGGGAGAGTGTTGTTCTTCCACCTCTGAGTAAACAGTAGTCTCACTCCTGTAATCATATATTGAAATATGTTCTTATGATTCCTTTCTAGGTGTTCTGTCCATCAGTCCCAGTTTGAGTTTTAAAATTATCTACTTATTATTTATTTATTGGCTTAGGAAAACCGTTAAAGATCAAAATCCTCTATCAGTATTTGTTCTTTTGTTTTCATTATAGATTCTCCTTGTTGGTTCTCCAAATAGTCTTGGTGTCTTAAACATTTTTCCTTCCTTGCTGTTTCTTTTCTATAGAAATCTTCTTGTGCTAAGAGTCATAAAAGTACAACAGGTTATAGCTTATATAATTACAATTAAAAAATCTGTATCAACAAATGCGGATTTTCCCTTTCTGCATATCTTCATTGGTTTCATGCCATGTCTTTGCATAATTATTTTGAAATAACATGGAATTCATATGTGTAATTTCAATGCCTTAATCTTTTACTTTTTCTCAGTTTTAAATCTAGTATTCCCCATCAATTCTTCTCGATCTGTTTAATTTATACTTTAACAAACATCACAATCTTTTGCTTATTTTTTAAAAAACCAACTATCCATTTTTTAAATTTTTGTCATTCACCTTTTTGCAGAGTCCAAGATTTCCCAAGGTAATTGCCAAATTATGTGCAAATGATCATAGTTTGTAAGATTCTTTCTTTACCTCACATCATACCCTAAATATCTCTATCCAAAACTTCAAGTAGTGGTATAAACATAAGAGGTAATAAAGGATATTCTTGTCTTGTTCCTTTTTGTATCTCACATGGAATAGATAGCTCCTCATTTAATATTATATGTGCTTTCTGCATCAAGCTATTTAATAAAATTGTCACAAAAAGACATTTCTTACAAGATTCTAAATTAAAATGCCCAATTCAAGTTGTCAAAGGCCTTTCCTACATCAAAAAAAAATGTGTCTTGTTTCTCATTATGCCATTCTAAATATTTCCATATAGTTAGTACATTTTAATAATTATAATATTTCATAAAAGTCCATATTCAACCTTGTATGTAAAGACTATTAGCCAAAAGCATTGAGAACAACTTATAGTTGTTATATAACAATGATATTGGTCCATAATATTTTATCAATTAAGTCTTGGTCTTTTTTTGTTTCAGTATACCGGTGCTTATTTTCAGTTATCTGAAATCTTTCCTATTTGTAAAATTGAATTCATCATCTGTTTTAATGGCAGAAGGAACTCATCTTTGAAACAGCTATAGTAAAAAGATGTAAGTCTGTCAGAACCAGGTGTCCTTTATAAAGCTAACTTCTCAACAGCTTCACTGATATCTCTTACAGATATAGGGGTATTCATACTTCATCCGTAGTCCTCTGAAATTTTGGCAAGTTCTGTATAGAAATATAATCTTCCAATTTCTTGTCCCTTATAAAATACAGGATAAAAATGGTGAAATCTACTTTATTTTTTCTCATTGTCAGTCATGATAGTGCCCACGTGTAGTTTCAAAATATTTTCTTTTTTCTCTCTTTTCATGGCTTATATGCCAATAAACTTTCCAATTTTATATATATTAATTTTCCCATATCTTCCACCATGAACATTGATTACTATATCTGCAACATCTTGATTTGATCATCAATTAAGGCATTTAGTGATTTTTTAAACCTCTGCAAGAACTGCTTGAATCTTCACTTGTCTCTCTTTTTGAATTTTCTCATTTCTTTTCATTTTGTAAAATTGAGTTATTTATTTTCCATACAAAAATATTCCTTGTTCTCTTGAGAACTAAAGGCGTTAAGTTATGATCTAAAAAGATATTTGACAGTAACACAATTTTTTCTCTCTTGTTGCAAAACAAAAACAAGACCTGGATTGAAAGTCACCTTGTATCAATTCTTGTTGTCAAAGAAAACCTTTCCTGATCCAGGGGACCTTTAAAAGTAGGAAAAATGCCTACATAGCCCCTAGAGAACATTTATGGGCAAAAAATTATATGTGGTGGGGAGATGCAGCCCTCAAGGTCTCCTAGTAGGCTAACAAAAAAGTTAGACTTCCATACTTGCCAATCCTTTCTCAAGGGCCATTTCTGTGGTTATCACCCCCTTCCCACATTATTATGGCTCATTTTGTGTTTTAAAGTAGCCCTCTTCTCTCCACATTGATGTGAGGAGGTGGGATGAGGGAAAAATGTAGTGAAGGGTGATCCAAGGTCTCAGAAGCTACTCTTTTCCAGGGAAATTTATTTACTAGAACACACTACAGAAGGTTTCTTCTGATGAAGAAGGTTCTGTTTCTACTTTGGCAGAAAAGAATAGTGTAGGACAATTTTCCTCAAATTCAGATAATTCCTGCTAAAACTTAACAACTAGACTTTTTAATGGTTGGCTAGCTGCATTTTTCTGTTGTTCTTGTTTGACCATATCACAGGGTTTTCTTGACAAGTTTCTTCAGTGTGTTTGCCATTGTCTTTCTTTGAGGCCAAGAAAGTTTGATGCGCCCTTAGTCATCAAGTGGGTTTCTTTGGCCATATGGGCATTTGACCCTTGATGTCCCATAGTTCACCACTCAAACCACTACATCGCATTGGATTTGTCTCTATTGATAATTCACACCGCCACACTCCACGTGATGAACACCTCCCATACACGATAGTGCTGCACTTCCACTTGAAAGAGTACCATTGTACTGAGAGTGCAAAGAATCCAAGTCAATTTCAAATTTATTTTGATAAATTAGTAATCACAATACTGTTTTTAAAAGTATCCATATATTTTTAAATAACCCACATTGTATTTTTGCCCAGCTGTTACAGCTAATATAATTGGGTTTTTCTCATTTTCCCACTTCTTCCATCATCCTTTGTTCTGCTTGGAAAGCCATTCTAGATACTTTCTTAACATTATGCAGGTCCTGGGGACTCTAGAGATCAGGATGGATTAATAACCATCTAGTTCTTCTGATGGAAACAATTATGTTGATGGAGCCATCCTGTTAGGTGTTATTGAAGGCTACATAGCAAGATGCTAAACCATACTTTGCAATTCTGAGGACAAGCTACAGCAGGACTTGAATTTGTACATGTTGTCTACTGTGTTGTTTTTTTCCAGCATGACCTCAAGGAGGATTTTGAAACATTTTAATTCCAATTTAGATTAACCTCAGCTTGTCATTAAATTTAAACCCTAGTCCAGTGGTTCTCAACCTGTGGTCCACAGATGTTTTTGGCCTTCAACTCCCAGAAATCCTAATAGCTGGTATACTGGCTGGGATTTCTGGGAGTTGTAGGCCAAAAACATCTGGGGACCCCAGGTTGAGAACCACTGCCCTAGTCAGTTGTGGTTATGGTTCACTGAAACAAGTCAACTTTTAATCATAAGGCACAATTGTAGAAATTAACTTAAATGTACAGATTTGACCCAATACCAATCTTTGTTGAACTCAAATGGAAGATCATTTGTAAGCTCTTCTTTGTGTCTATGGCAGAGAAGAGGAGAAACGTGGGAATGCACAAACACAGTGCTCTCTTTATTATGTTAGTGCTAAACTGGAGTTTTGTTTTATACGGGAACACTGGCCCTGTGAATTCGATGTAGCATTTCAGTAGCCCTTAAGTGTTATAAACACATGGCATTATTAACAAAGGAAATGAATTTGCTTTCCGGTAGAAAAAGAGTCATTACCTTAAAAATCTCTTCAGGACCACTTACTGGCATCAAAAATTACTTAGGTTAACTGGACAATAAAACCACATTGTTAAAAATGAAAGCCTAGCCATATTTAAAACAAACACAGAGGACAGCAGCTGCTGTTATATGCCCCCTTTGCAATGCAGTGGAATGAGAAAGAAAGGGGAAGCAGAAAACCTAATGAAAGACATTGATTTGATGGCTACAGCTGCTCCTCTTAATAAGCCTGAAAGAAATATTAGATGTGATTTGCAGACATTTGATTATGTTCTCGATAACTGTTGCATAAAAACCTTTGGGTGTAAATAATTGGAAGAATGTGCCAATATTGCTTTACAAAGTGTGACATTTTTTTTAAAAAAGGAACTATTTTCTAAGTGGGCTATTAAAGAAGACAGTGATAAAAAAGTTTTGTGTAGTTTAGTGACTAATTGAATTTGCATATCTTTGCAACAGTAAACGGATTGAGACATAAATCTTAGCAGATCTGTTTAATGTGAAATGCAGAAATAAACATCTAGTTAAAGTAAGGTAGATATAGATAAACCACAATTTATATTTAAAACAGCTAAAAAGAGACACCTTGGCACTGGATGTAGCATCATAAGCTTTATTATAGCATGAAAGCATGAAAATGCCACTGATAGTGTTGCCATCAAAAGTAATTGTTGTATGGGTACAGTGAACTGTGACTATGTTTCTGAGCACTGTATATGAATCAATTTACAGCCCTCATAAACTTGCATATATTCATCTCTATTTTCTTTTTTTCTCTTTTCGTAGGACCCCCTGTAAGTACATCTCATATCCTATTGGATCTTCTGTATTATCAAGAATGGGGCAGAAAGTCTTAAAGAACTGGTAAAAAAACCCAATTACTCATATGTCAAATATGACCAATTACCATGCAGAATATGGATGAATTTATTGACCTTAAAATTTAAAATGCAACTAATTTTTCAAAATTATTTTATATTATTTTTATATTAAACAACAATTAAAATAGTGTTTGAACATTTTACATCAATGCCGGAGATGACATGTCAATCATCTTTACTATGGCTCATCCCAAAACAAACAAAAACCAGATAGCCAGTTCCCTTTTGACTCATATATCTGTTGTTGTATATGATGCACTAGTACGATGGCACAATCTGTGTGATTAAAATATGAGAAAAGCAACACAAACTGAATCACAGCATGCCCATAGCTCTTCAAATATGTGATGATAAAGGGCACACCATTTCCATAACTGGAGTGGGAAAAATAGAACCACTGGCAAGGTTTTCTTCATTAGACAAGTCTAGCTTTCCATTTTCTTGTAATTTCTACCTATTCTTTTCCCCTTATTGACTGTTTGAATCATAAAAATGTGCAGAAGATACAGTAATCAAAACAAGCCTTATTCTCTCAATTCCTGGAAAATTAGGCCCAGAAAGTAGTAAATGAGCAATGACAGCTAGGGGAAGAAGGTTGAAGTTCATTTAGGCCATCCTTTAGAAACCTTTCTTGATGATCCATCTTGATATGAACCAGATCACACTCATACACAAATTCTACTTTCTTAAGAGTTGGAATTTCTTTCTTTACCTGGAAGATCTGTCACTCCGTCATGTCATAGTGCAGCAATTCTGAGTAGTGTTAGTCATTGTTTCCTCTCTTGAAAAATTGAGGATTTTGGCATATGCGGTGGGTTGATCAGTGACAACAAGATTAATTTCTGCACATCAGGAAGATCACAAAACATGAAACAGGACTTTTTTTGTCCTTTTCAGGTGTTGTGCTCTGTGGGAAAATTATTTTATCATACTGATGCCCATAGAAAGCTGGTGTTTCCTTTGTCAGTAGGTTAGTGAATCTACTCCTGGCTTCAGTTCCAAGGAGCTATCCAAGGTGCTAATCCTAATCTGAGGATGAAGTAGATCCACTACTCTATCTGCTCCTGTAACATGTTCTGTTCTAATGGGAACAGACATTGCCAGGCGTAAATAGTGGCATATTTGGGTCTAAGTTTGATTTCATACAAGCAATTTTAAGCAATTTTCCCACAGCATTCTTACATTGTAGAAAAAAGCCAGGCTCATAACTGTTTCTTTATGGTTATTTATGATATATAGTTAAGGTTTTTGTTTTCTCATCTGCAAAACACCTGTTGCTGCCTGAATCCCACATAAAAGACCTGTGGCTGCCTGAATCCCACATAAAAGTCCATGTATTTCCATGTGGGTTGGGCATGGCATATTGTGGACTTTGGATGACCCTTCTCAATGCTAAAGTCTTGTTTTGCTAAGACTGGGTTACTACAGGTGCCTCGCAGATGCATGCAGAAATCACTTAACTGCTGGTCTTAAAGATAGCATCTTGATTAAAAAGGAATCATCTTCTTTCTTTCATATTTGCTATTTTTAGATCAGTATTTTCATGTTAAATTAATAAGGTTGTACTCCTATACATTTGAGACATTTGCAAGGTGACTTGCATAGGATTAATTGGTCAATTACAAAATTCTAATGCAAACCATTTCTGTTTTTATTGATACAAAATTCATTTTTAAGTATGTCAACATGGTTTTTCTTAAGTGTATATAAATAATTTCAGTGCTACCTTGTACATTCCAAAATGTAAAGTATATCAATTCAGTTTTCACTATGCTGTGAATCTGATTCTGCCTTAAATACCACATTTAAGTAGTTCGAGCACAAATGTCATGTGATTAATCCTTGATTAATTAAGCTTATGAAGAAAAATTATTTTGTAATTTCAATTTAATTAACTGAGATTTACTTGCGAATAAACATGCCTATGACCTGATTGTATTTTCTGCAGCCTTTGGTTGAGGGAAATCTTGAATTTTGAGTGGTACTGCCTTCGCATATAAATTAGGATATGAATATACTTACTACTGATGAAATAGCTAGTTGTAAAAATGAATAATAGTGATAGAAAGTTCCCTTTCCTATTCATGTATACAAAGTATGTGTATTGTGTCACATATCACTCAATGTATGCCTAACATGTATCATTCCATTTCATCTCCTTCAACCAGGGTCAACCAGGGCGAAATGGCTACCCGGTAACTGTCCTGCCATATATTTATGGAATGCATGATCCACTTTCAAACCATTATTTTCTCCCTTGTCTTTGTCTGTGGCTATATACTTTTCAGCGAGTTATAGAAATTATCCTTCCTTGCTGTCTCCTGTTGAATCAGAATGACACTTTCTCTGCATTTTACTTAGCAGATCTTTACCCAGGATCTAGCAAGTAATGCTGATTCCATAATATATGCTTGGAAGATGATATAATCATTATTTCAATTTCTCTTTATTGAACTTGCACATTCTTGAATAGAGGAACCATTTTCTCATCATGATATAAAACTTAAAGTACTTTCATCTCACTTATCAGTTTACTTTATGCAGATGTCATTTGGTTGTCTCTCTGAATCTGAGAAATTGTTCAGCTTAATTCTATGCGTGATCAGCAATGTTAACCCCAATTCTTTGTAAAACCTGCTAGAATGGCACATTTTATAATAATTTACTTCTGTGCTATTTACACGTGCATGTTTAATTTTTTCTAAAACTTTTAAATATATGGAATAATGCATCTCTCAAGGATAAGAATCAAGAACACAACATATCCTTTTGTGTGTGATATGCTGTATTGTGTCATCCCCGTCTGAAATTTTCAGTATAAATGCATTACTAAATACACATATACCATAATAAAAGCATTGCTGATTAATATCCTGTCTAGTAGGTTTGGGCCCAAATCAGTTTGAACGGAAATGATTTGTAATATTTGGTGGTGCGTTTTATATAATATCCAAAAACAGAATGGGGAGGAGGGAGCCGCAAAGCCTGGCAAAATGGATTAAGGAAGCCAGATTTTATCGGTTTCTGGAGAGGAAGAAGCTAAGTCTACAAGATACCTGAGGCAGGGTTCTGCCACGTCTTGTCTCCCTCCCCAGCAAAAGTAACTTTCCCTTTGGAAAGTTTCCTAGGCTCCTCTTCTAGGTTTAAAGCATGCCTTAGTATGAGAAATGAAGTTTTGTGTTCATAAGTTTTTGATTTCTCACCGCTATTCTGTTTTGTGATTGGCAGTTACCAATAATATTCCATCTTTCTGCTTTCACAGAAATTAACATTTATTAAAACTTGTTATAGGTGTTTGCAAATGAGTGGATTAGACAGTGCTGCAGACAGCTGTGATTATTCGTGGATGTAATATCTTCCAAAAACATAGTCTGCATATATTTCTAATGAATGACATAATTAACTTTACAAATAAATCATTTAAACCACCTGTTTTGAATGGAACTAATCAGCTTTAGGTAGTCTAAGGCCATTAGCCAGACCTTAGTATATTCCCATATAGGAAATGATCTAAACATTTCCACTTCCAGCTGTGTGGATCAGAGGTTCTCCAGCTCCTTGCTCCATGTGATCAAAGATTACTCATTTTGAGGTTTTGCCCTTGAAGTGTATGAAGTGTGATCTGGTATTATTATCATGAACACACATAAATTAAAGGTAACTCTCTGGAAATGATCAAAAGCATGTGGTGTTTTCAGATTCAGAAGTTAGTCTACATAAAGCTTACATGGTGCAGGAGAGTGTTGCTTATTCAACCTTTGCTTATCCAATGTTCTGTATGATCCAGCACAGTCTGCTTTCCGCTCAGATCCACAGGAGTTTCAATACATTGTGATTTTTTGGTGCTAAATTCGTAAATACAGTAATTATTACATAACATTACTGTGTACTGAACTGCTTTTTCTGATGATTTGTTGTAAAACATGATGTTTTGTTGCTTAATTTGTAAAGTCATAACGTAATTTGACAATTAATAGGCTTTTCCTTAATCCCTCCTTATTATCCAACATTTTTGCTTATCCAACGTTCTGCTGGCCCGTTTATGTTGGATAAGTGAGACTCTACTGTAGTTAGAACATTGTAAAACTTCTGGTGTTTCAGGTCAGAATTAATATAAATCATTTTTTTAAGTCAGGTTTTCTATTTAAATTGGAATTTTCCAATTTTTATTTAAATTGCTTTAGTAAATCCAATTTTTGTCACAATGAGAGTAGAGCCATTGAAATTAACTCGACTTGTTAATCAACATCAACACCAGTCCCGTTGATATAAGTAGATATGCATTGGCAACATTCTTGTATTTAATTCAGTAGTTTTTTATGTATCTACATTACTCTTGTTTTTAGATGGCTTTATATTGTTTATTTGCTGTCTTTTTAAAATTGATCTTCCTGTTGTCAATTGTTTTGAGAACTTTTTATAATTAAAATTAGAACACACATATCATCAATGAATCAATGATTGAACTCATGTTTTGTAATGAACGCAGTGAGCCCAGTGCTACTCCATGATAGCCTTGAAATCTAACTGTACAAAAAGAATTCTTTCCTGCTTCCAACCACTACAGTGCTACCTAGTAGCCAGATCCTTCTCTATATATCAGACCACCAGGTCATGATTTCGTTTCTGGCAGATGCCCAAGGAGGAATAGAAAGGTGGATTTAATTCCTAAATTGCAGTGAGACATGCCTGTTGTTGGTATAGAGTTCACTAGTTAGTGGAATTGAGGAACTGCATGTGATTTTCTTCCTGCTGTGTCTTTCAAAGCAGCTCCCCCTATAAAACGGAAATGGGGAACACAGCCATGCTATTTTGAGTTATTTGGATAATTTCAGAACTACAGCTACTTTTTTGGTATCTGCAATCATTTACTTTAAGTATTGTGCTGAGGGTGAAATGCCACATGTTGATTT